ATTCAACAACAGAGTGGAGTGTGGGTAATTTATGTGTTCTTTAATTTAATTTAATTTACCGGTCTACTCGATTCGCATATTCTCTCATTTAAATATGTCAACTTTTATTGACAAGAGGATTTTGGACTTGAAATGAATATCCTGGACTGGTAACAATAAAAGACATAATCTAGCCATAAACAGGAGGGATATGAATATTCTGCCTAACAAAATACAGACTAGTAAACAATGTTGAACAAAAAGCCCAGCAACAGGCGAAAATGAAGATTCCGTCCCGAGAAAAAATTCCCTCATCAGAAAACCAAATGGTCGTGCCCTAAATATATTTAAAAGTGGTCGAAACATATATAGTCCATGTGTTTTAACTCGTTCTCGACATTGAAGTTAAACATTCATAATGTGTAAGCATTAAATTACAGTTACATGGCCATTTTGTGGTGTCGGTAAAGAAAGAATAAGACTGACCTGACCGATGATATAAGTAATTTCCATCCACAAAGTCAAGATATTAAATAGGTGTTTATTTTCAAACAACCAGTTCAGTGTTATGTGTTAACTTCAAAATCATGACTTCCCTCGTAAGTAAAAATAGAACAATAGAATTTACCCGCCAAAAAATTAACCAATAAATGGATAGCGGCTTAATGAACCGTGAATCAGGAAATAAAGACGTGCACTAAAACTTTTAACTGGGATTTAATATTGAGCCTAGACTAAGTCTAGGGTCCACGTCAATCATGAGCAAAATCAATTGGCAATAACGTGTAGTCAGTTATAAAAGGTCTCGATATTTCAAAATGTGAAACATATCAAACGAGGTAAAAAAGAGTTAATTAATGACAAAACAGAAAATAGATGTAACAACTAAACAGCAAACAACGACAACCATCCAGACTTGCGACAAGCACATGAAGATTTGGTATGGTTAAACATGTTTGTGAGCGCTCAACCTCCTTTTAACTTGGAAAAATGGTGTATCCACAAGAGCGCCAATAAAAAAAA